CAGACCAGCTAGCATGGCTGTAGACTCTTTGTTGAAACTAAATCTAATATGCATATTCAGACTGACACTCCAGTATAGTTTTGCTGTCAAAATCAATCCAATATTAAACCATTACCAGCTTTTTAGTGCTTTATTTAGGTCATGCTAATGTTCTTGTGTACAGCAGAGCAAATAACTTAGCTCCTGGATAATGCTGTGTCTATGTTTTCATCATTTAAAGGTCACTGTCAACAGGGCAATCTCTACAATGCTTGCTATAACCCTTTAAGAGGGGGAAAGGGCATAAATTAATGCTTTCCTGCTTCTCTAACTGACATTTGTTAATATTTGTGGTCCTGATGTCTTATGATGATCACCGTCTGGAGCTTGTAGTTTGCCCAGCATTTTATTTACTGCTACATCACTGGCCGTGTGTGTGCATTCGCTTTGGCAAAGAGCTCCGGCTCTAAATCTCAGAGGGTGCGGGTGCCTTTTTTGCCTGTGTATGTGCCCCTATAGTTCATGAATAACTCTTGCTTTAAGATACTGAGAGTGGATTCGGGCATGGGAGGGGGACATAAATCTGAGGCTGACACCCTCAGTGAAAGTCATTAGTCAGCCGTCACCGACCCTGGCCCTCTGCCATGTCACGAGAACCACCTCGCTCTCCCTCCCTCCCTTCCTCTCTCTCTCTCTCTCTCTCCCTCCTTCTCTAATGAGGGCTATCTCGCTCGCCCATAGCCTCATTCCTCTAATGGAGCCAGTGAAATCAAGTGGAGGATTCATGTTGATGCAGCCTGTTTTGAGACTCAGAAGCACACGCGCACACTACTGTATATAATACTGACGCCATGTTTAAGTAAATGGATATTAAGATGTTGTTAGTTATTTATATTTAGTGGGAAAGAAGCTATTTGACTTACAGTATGAGGATAATGGGGGCATGAGTCAGAAAAACTCTTGATTAATTACACATTACTTAGTTTAGATCTTTTTACATTTTCCTAAGAGGGATAGATAATCATCATAAATTCTTCTTACTACAGTTTCTCCCACTTTAACGTGCACACACACACACACACACAACTTTATAAAAAAAACAACACCACACACGAGGAAGAAACCAGTGTTAAAAGTAAGAGCAGGAAATATGTTTACCAAAGCGTAAGCCAATTCATTGTGACAGGGCATTGAGGACAAGGTAACAGCGTGTGCTGCAGCAAAGTTCAGAAGATTTTAAAAGGTCCTTTTGTACCTTCAGTAAATGCGATTGATGTTGGGCAGGCCTCAAGAAAGCGTGTGGCTCATCCATTGCTGTTTTCAGAGAAGGGGTGATCAAGGCTTTTTCCGGGATTCACTTTCCAGTGATATTGAGAAAGATGCACACTCTCTGGGGAGCTGGCAATTTCAATTTGCTCAGGGAAGGGCATGCGTTACAGCCGACAATATACAAATGCACACTGGAGGACGCAATGCTGGATATCTTCTAATCCTGCACTGCATGTGTGTAACTGGAGATTGCAGAGGTCAGACTTTGAATGAATCAATGCCTGAATCAATTCAGACTGCATTTAATTTACCAGAAATGCAGAGCCCTCTTTGTCTGTCCAGTGGCCTTTTATTAGATGAAATTTAATCATGGCATTCAGGCCTTATTCAGCTGCAGGAGAGACAGGAAATTAACTTCTTAGAAAATATTAGTCAACTTTGTCACACTAAATACATCTTAATTGTGTTATAATCCCTCATTGGCATTTCAGTTGTTGACACAAGACCAGCCAATAAATGCTAAAGCTAAACAAGCTCAGAGCAATGTAAACATGTACAGTTCTATTTAGCTTATATTTATGACTGCTGTTATCATTTGTGCTTATTTTAAGCTGGCCTGTGCTGCAGGTTTTTGTAGTGCCTGCAGCAAGGGAAGGTGCTACTGCCAAGAATAAATTGAATATACTGTACCAAGGATTTATGTTACTGTAGGACACTTGTGTTTTGAATGTGGGAAAGTTGTTTTTATTCCTCCCAGATTCCAAATAGTAAGAAGTACAAAGACGAAAATGACACCTCTACACATGGCAGCCCTGTACCAAGGCTGTGTTCTGACAGACAGCTGCACTGAGTGGAAGAGAAAAAAAAGCAGCCCACTTATTCATTTCAATGAGGCCACGATGTTGCCACAGCGTGGGTGTCAATGCAGAGTGAAAAACACAAGGTCATCCAGGAAGAATTATGACATTTGTACAACTTTTGCTGCAATGCAATGTGGCAATCCTCCAGCAATGCAACTACAAATGCAAGCACACATTCCAGGCAGATTTTTGGGTTCTCTTTATATGTGGTCATCAAAACAGAAGATACAGTGATCGTTGCTGTGATAACTTTGCAGATTTTTTAGATCCATCCTCATAATGTTATATTATCTTCAAATCTCTTGGATCTATTAATCAAATCGTCCTTGCTGGATTATATTTTATTTCATCACTGATCCCTTGCATTAGCTTATTATTACTGATTCATCAATGGAGGAGCATTGTACTGTTGTTGAGGTGGAGCTAGTCCTGACTTTATTCAACTAGTACTAATACTACTGTACTTTTGGTAAATTGAGTCCAGTGGTTCCCAAAGGGCCATAAGATAAATCTGAGGGGTCTTGGGATGATTAATTGGAGAGGAAAGAAGAAAAAGTTCTGCTGCACGGGCCAAAATCTTGGGAGCCAATGTAAAATCAGATTTATGTAGCGGAGAAAAAAGTACAATTCCCCCAACATATTCCTATGCTGGAGTACTACTTGATACCATACCACCGTTTTCTGTTTAGTAATTTGATACTATTAATTTAGAAATACCCATCATTTAAGCACAATACCAACTGAAATAACAAACATTTTAAAACTATACTTTGACAAACGGAGTGGATCTCTGTAGCATGTTAGTTTGGATAAGGATTTAGCATTTCATATTCCCATATTCCAAAGCAAAGATCCAGTTAATCAAAATCACGCAAACAGTTGCAACTATAGCCTGACTGAAACAGGATTTTATGAGGCCAATACCAATATAGACAACGATACATTGGTCAAAAGTAATTTTTTAAAACAAATCCATAATATAAACAACAATCTTGATACAGATCCCTTACATTTGTGTTCAATACTGTCATTATTGCCATTTATTTAACTAGGTTTCTCAAAAAATTCTAAACATTTTGTTGTCTTTGATTGAATTCCAAAGATGCGACGGGCACAACTGAACTTTCTGATTTTATTGGTATTCCAGTCCATGATAATATGTGAGCACAAACATCAGCGGCTCCACAAAGAGACTAAACATCAAAGCCAGCATCAAATTCGTAACTCCACAGGATGCATGACACTCCTTGTGACAATTCACCCTTTAATGCCGAGTTTTTGATGCATGACCTAAAGACGCGGTAAAGCCTTTCCACATGGGTAACATCAAATGAAAAGCAAAAGGTCAATGATGACATTTTCCTATTTTTAGAACCATATTATGAGGATGCCAGCCTGCAGACATGCATATACAGTATGCTGTCAAAAAATATACAGTATATACTGATTTTTGACCAGTGTAGAGTCAAGGAGTGTCAAAGAAACGGTTCTGATGCCAGAGGCACGTGAGTCAAAAGGGGAATTCGAGCAAATAAATAGATAAAACACAAACAAGGAAAATATCTCTCCTATCCTTCCTCTTTCCCTATCTCCAGTCCTTTAATCCCCTTCACGGGCCGCTTAACAATCACCACACACACTCACCGAATCAAGGTGTCAGAGAGCAGCTGAAGTGCTAGTCGAGGAGCACGCATAGTGTATGTGGCCGATTTTGAGTGTCCATCCCAGCTGCCTTCCATCAGGACTGTCACGAATGTTTCACTGCAGCTGTTGTGCAAAAACATAATTTGCTTTTTTGTTGTTGTTGTTGTTGTTGTAAATGCATTCCCTCTCAGGTGAGAATGTGAGACCTCAAACCAATTTTGACCATTTTCTGAAGGATTAGACTTCCTTGGGAAACGAGAGAAGCTGTAGGTTGATCTCGACTGCTCTGTTACCATGGACACACTTGAAGATTTCCCTTTTTTTTTCATATTTGCAACCCACCAAGGGGACCGTTTGAAAGCATGTGTGTGTCTAAGATAGAATGCTCGTTTGTCTTTTCTTTGTGTAATTATATCATAAATCTGTTTTGCAACCTGTACAGCAATGCTCCTTAGAAGAGCTATTATCTCAGAGTGACGAACAAGCAGGGGAGCATATTGTTTCGGCCGTGTTGCCTCCGCTCTGCAGTTGGAATACTGCTTTGCTTTGCTTTGCTTTGCTTGTGGTCTGTTCCTTAGGTACCACGGAGCTAAATGACACATTTGACACCATTACAGATCCGGAGAGGAATAGGTGAGGCGGAGAGTCAGGAGTGCTTCTCTTTGATTTGACAAACATCAAGCTTTCGCTGTATTTGATCTTTAAATGGTCTTTGTCATTATGAGTAAGATGTGCAGTAGTCACGGGCGCGCATGGGCAAATATGAGAGAACATAAATATGTAAACTGCAATCAGCAGTTCACCTGAGGGCAGCCTACTCACTCCTCATTTGTTTTTCTCTTTAAGCAAATCTCTTTAAAAAGACCCACAACACAATCAAAACATATAAAAGAAAACAGCAATTGCTTGAAACACTGACTTTCCATCTCCAGTTTTTCATGTCCATTTGGAGCTGTGCACAGACACGCACACACAAGAGAGAGGAGCAAACAAAGTAATCTAAAATTGTTTAAATTGCTTGAAGGTCTCAGCCAGCTCGCGCTAGAAAGGCACGACATTTATGTAAAGCAGAAAGGAAAATTATTCTCAGCACGACAGCTCCAGTGAGACATTTCTGTGATGGGGCATTGATTGGAGTAAATTTGGACTATTTCACTGCCACAGTGCCCATAAATAACTAAACAGGAACAAAGCTGAAGAAACAAGGTAACTTGCCCGGTGTGACACACATACGCAGAGACACACGCATTTAGTCTGTTTACTTTATTTTTGTGGTTTTCTAGGGGAACATAGTGGCACAGAGCTAAACAGACAGGTCACCAGAGGCAAAACAACACAGCTCAAATGTTATTGTTACAGCAGTTAGTCTTGTGTCAGGGGATACTCTCCATTAGTCCCATAGTCCCAGGAAAAGAGAGAGGCGTATAAAAACAAAACCAACAGGGCATCAAGTCAGGATCACTTCCAGTCCATATCAATCGCGAAGCAGCAAGTCCTCAAAGGGATTTAAAGTGACTGCTGTCTTATAACATTCATTTAGCAAACACACTCATTTAGTCCGTTTTTCTGTTCATAAAAAAACTTTTAACAGAAAAGATAGGTTTGGGTTTGCTGCCTTGCTCAAGTGCACTTCCACGGTGGCGCCAAGCCGATATCTCCACAATCTTCTCTTGTCTCTTAGCTAAATTCGACAGACTCTTTCAAATGCTTTTTAGTGCCAGCTCAGTGCTTTAATTTGACTGAATCTAACCCTGATAGATATAAGAAGAGGCTGGTTGAACACTTTAATGACCTCTACATTAAGACTGTAGTTTCCGAGGGGACACATTCATTTGAATAATCCTGGACCGTCAATTCATTAGCTCCCACTGCTACTCACACACACAGTTTGCGTACCAAGGAAGCAAAAAAGAAAAAAAAAATTCTATTCCCAGGTGCTGCTGTAGCTGATGAATGGGGGCTTGCCTCCGTGAGGGTACAAAGCATTTGGAAACCTGCAGCTTGTGATTTAACTGTGAGCAGGGAATGGATTTCAGCAGCCTTGTAATGGGGGGGCTGTGTGTAAGGAAGGGATGACTTGGCTCGAGATGAGAGTCGTGCACCCGTAATGGATGCCAACCAAGGGGTAATCATAGCAGACACAGAAATTAGTCCCATCAGTACTGGGAGACTATGAAATATAAAAACTGCTGTATAATAAGTCAAGAATTCTTCTGCTTTAACAATCTCAGGGAGGAACTTAATGCTTCAAAAGTAAAATATGGGGGAAAAAATCTCTGAGTAGCTTCTGTTAGCTTTTTTGGTCTGGACCCTGGATGCATACTGTAGACGAGACACCGCATGGCCAATTATGTGGGCCTCTTGCTGACAGTCAGAGCGTAACTGCATCAAATACGAGGTCTTTGACAGATTATCATATGGGACCACCCGACACGATGTGCACTAATGGTGTTTGCTGTAGAGGAGGGAAAGAAAATTTACTGTACATGCTCAAACAATCTTTCAGATCTAAACGGCTCTGCCGGCATTTAGAATACAAATGAGTAACCCCAGTGCTGTGACTTTCCGATGCATATTCCAACAACAGGCCAATTACGGTGAGATGGTCACACTTCATAAAAACAGAAACTCCATATTGATGTTTTTAACATCTATGGTGCTATTAGCTAAATAAGCATCTATTACTTTTAGACATATATACATTATTTACACAATATCCTCTTCCGTTGCAATACGTATGCACAACACAAACCAGAGTAATGCACATGTAAATATCTGGCACATTGTTCTTTGTCTGCAAATAGTTGTATTCATTTTCTCTATTCTTCTATTCTTCTTATATAACTTACATTTGTTTATTCCATAATTATATATTTCTACATTTATTTATGTCAACTGTATGTTTGTCTACGTGTAGTGCCTTAACACCAAAGCAAATTCCTTGAACGTGTAAAATACTACATGGCAATAAGCTCTTTCTGATTCTGATTCAATTTTTTTTTTAAATACAAATAAGTTGTACATTTTTGGTCATAGTTGTTTTGTATTATGTACTTTGTAGTCCAGCCCATGTACCTTACATTCATATCATCATTATGTATGGTTTGATTCCTTTTGGGGGTCAAAAAGGATGTCAGTGCCCACGTATGATCCCTCAACCCTTGTTCCATATGTCTATGTGTAAGAGTTAATATGTAGGCCTATTGGCTGTCACTGGCATGCTGCAGCCAGTGCTTGAAATGAAAAAAAAAAAATAGGTGCCAGTACTCCCCATTCACATGTTGGCGTGTGTATCGGCTAGTACCCCCATTCTTTTATGCTGCCCTCTATTAGCTAAACATACAGGTAATATATGGGAAATATTCCCCCTTATAAATAATGAAACATTAATTACATTTGGTGCAAAAGGCAGCTTTCCTGCGCGCAAACTGAGAAATGCACAGTGCATTGTGCTGCTTCATGGTGACCAGCCGTTGAATGCAAGTTCACTGCTGGGTACTGTGTGATCTCTTTTTCTCTTTGTTCTTTTCTTATACTAACCTCCACACACACACACACACACACACACACACGGGACCCACAGCTGTAGCTTAAACTCCAGCTGTGCTCCACGCCATTTTGGTTCTGGGTCTAAGCCCTTTTCTTAAGCTTTGCGGGCCTACCTGCCATTTTGGATCCGTGGCTGACAAGACACCCACACAGTCATGTCTGCAATTTTCCTCCCTCCTCCCCTCTGTTGATTGATGTATCCAATCCAATCCACTTTATTTCTATAACACATTTTACAAACACAAAGTTACCAAAGTGCTACACAGAAGACTCAAACATACAAAACAATTAATATAAAATTTTGTAAAAACAAAATAAGAGCATCAGGTTTAAATACTAAAATACAGTAAAACAATAAAAGACATCAGAGGACCACACAACTCACGCGGAGTTAAAAGCCAAAGAATAAAAATCTGTCTTTAGACGAAACTTAAAACACTCAACTGTAGGGGCTGTTTAGGTCCAACCACAGAAAAGGCCCTTTGTATGCTTTGTTTTGCATAGAATAGATGATAGTGGTTTATTAGCTGAAGTTGTTGATTATTTTATCTTTGCTAAGGTTAATTAAGTTAAATAAATCCTATTGTACTTTTAAAGCGCAGTTGCCTGTGGTTATTTATGTGTTTGCGTTGTGATAACAGCTGGTTGTGACAGTGTGTGTCAGTGCTTGAATTCACCCTTTACTGTCCACCCCAATGATGTATTTAAATGTTGGCATTTATAGGTGGGCAACCCCCTTTTCGAGACTGCAGACTGATTCCAGATTGGTGCCCCGTATTTATTAACCTTTATTAATAATTGTATAATATTTATCAAATATATTTAATATTTTGCTAATAACCAAACCTTCCCCTACCAGATCCCACAACACTGGTTCTGACCAGGACGATCTTGCCCATGCAGAGGTTCAAGGTGTCCATTGCTGTTACTGTTAGAGGGGATGTGAAATAGTACAAATTGCGGCAGCAACAGGGGGTTTAAAACATTTTGGGTTATGTCCAGGTCATCCCCGTTTAGGGCAAATTATTTTAAGAGGCCTGAAGAGGTTAAATCCTGTTATTCCCAAGAAAATGAGCACGGGTATATCATTTTGTGCAGAATATTTTTTTCCTGCATGCTGTTGATCATCTCACAACAAATCTACTGAAACTGCATGAATTATTTTATCCTCGGACATCCTCCTAATCACATTTCTACCTGTCACTCTGTTCTATAATATGATGTTCCTGTGACATTAATCCAAGACACAAATATAAAGTGTGGAGAAAGGTTTCTCCACACTTTATGTTGTGTGTATTGTTTGCCTTGCAATTTGCATCCATCACATAATTGTGAACAACTGTTTGGACAGTTTGACAGCTACTTTAGACAATGATGCTTCCCTATTGACATTTCCTGGACACATGCATTTGCACTCTAGATCATCAGAGTAGACAAACACATGGGGCTAAAATAAAAATATTTTTTTAAATAAAAACATTGAATTAGACAAAACTTTGAAAATTGGGTTTATTTTTTGTGTGATTCAGTCGCGTACCTCTCCTCAACATGTCAGTGGGTAGCCTGTCAGTCAGTCAGTTAAAAGGACATCACTTTCCTGACCATTCTGCTCAGCAGCGCAGCAAATATATAATAAAATGTATTTGAAAATGTTCACAGGGCTCTGTGCCCATACTGAAAAACTGGGAACAACTCCCTAGATAATATTCGTATCAACATACTGGACCTAAAGATAATATCTGCAAAAGTAAAGAGCCTAATTATGAGTAGGACTTGTATAACCATTCACAGTTGGAAGGATTTCAACTGTAGTTTCAAACAGTGACTAATTAACGTCAGTTAAATGAGGTCCGCCATATTTTTTGAAAGGTAATTATATCGTTTTACGATTCACTGACCATTTGTCACCACTGAGTATAAATTAGTTCTTGTCTGCCTAATTGTGCCTCAGCATATTGGGCAAAACGCAGGGAGATGAAAGAAATGATCCCAGAGATGGTTCAAAGTTTTAGACATTAGACTAAAGATGATGTGCCTAGGGGGCAAAAGTAGCGAGTTGAAAGCAAACTTGGAAATTCAGCCTGTTAAAACGTAGATACAATACTTTAAGTTTTGAAACGGCAGGGCGGAAATTGTCTAATGTACTGCGCAAAAGCCGACAAAAGGCTAAAAACTGTGTCACATCTACAAGCAGCCTTTGCCAGTTTCTAGTCTTTTCATCATAGGGCAGCTCAAACGTCTGATCCAAAAGGATCAGACAGATTTTCTCAGGATAACGCTCACTGCTTTGATGTTATTAAAGGACCAGTACGTCACCAGCAATAAGAGGGGTTGTATGCCTGATCCTTTCACCCTAGTGCCTGCTGGTTAAGAGTTGTACCCTCAAATGGGAAATTAATTCAAGCTTTCCTTTTACAACCATTAAATGTCTGGTTGTCATGAGGTTAAATTGTGATTGGTTGCCATATTTATGAAGCCTCATGGCTAAATTGTTTGATTGATGCTTGATTTGCTGTTTCCCAAAGAAAGAGATGGTCAAGGCAGAATGAGGCTAAGGACAGCGTAAAGGACTGCACTCTAGAAGAGAAGAGAAGAGAGGGCATTTTGTCCTCTAAAAAACCCTCAAAAGGATTAATTGATTATCAAAATCTTTGCTGATTCATTTTCTGTGACGACAAATTGACAACACAGTTAACACATTGGTAGGTTTGTTATACTGCATGTGCTTCCACAGTGGTACATTTCAAAACAAAAGACCAAGTGTTCTTGTTGTCAAACCCACGTGCAGAGAGCATTTACTGAATCCCAAAAGGCTTGTCTGCATCCGGCGTGTTTCATGCCCAACCTGGTTCCTTTCAATAGTTTTTTGAGAGTGAGGAATTCCACGCTGGCAGGAGAGGGGGCTGCCGCCTGCCACACCCAGGGTAGGCATATGGGACAGCCTTTCACCTCAGTCGTGCTAGGCTGGGTGCCCATGAGCCCGATGTCAAACTCCCATTACTGTCTCAGTATCAGCTGTCGACATGTCAAAAAGACTCTGAGGAGGAGCCACTCACAGAAGTGCTTCTCGCACTTTTGTTCAGCTTCTTTTCATTTATCAAGTCTCTCTCCCTGCCAAGGCCTGATATCTTAAGATTGAAGGTCTTTGTGAATCCTGACAGTGTCTGTCACTGGATCGCATCACGTCCCTTTATTTGAACTACTTCTAAGGTGGAGTAATAGAAACTTGGGGAACTTAATGTTACAGCTGAGTGAGCTTTTTCCAAGGGGAAAGTTAAATGACTTTCACTGTGGGATGGGGAAAAACATTGAGACTAGTACCGTCAATTTATATGTCTCTTTTTTTTCAAGGCACTCTCTTGTGTGTGCATATGTTTTCTGTAGTGTGGAGTTCTTTATACTTGTGCGCTCTGTTGTCTCGCCCGCTCACACTAAACCGTGAACCCCGGCGGGAAAAGCTTAATTACCATTTGATGAGTTTGAGAACAAAGCTGCTGCGTTACAAGTTGAAAATTGGTTATCGTCTTCTAGTGCTGTTGCTTTAATTTGGTCTTGGCTGTGTTCAATGTTTCAGTCCAAATTGTTCTGTCACTAGAGGTTATGGTGGGGGGGAGAAAAGAACACCTCTACAGAGACTGAGGGTCTCTGATTATCTTATTCCTTTCCAGCGGGAAAATTCTGTGGTTGGAGCAAACTTGACAAAAGAAATGGCAGTTGTGTTTGTTGTCTATACACACAAAAAAACACTGTTTACATGTGAGATCTCTGAAAGAGGAATGAATAAGTAAATAGAATACTTTACTTTATCAAGTTTTTGAAATCTACACAGCTGCCTGTCCAGGTAAACACATCCTATCAAAGCATAAATATTGCAATAGCAAAAAATGATTTAGGATACTAAGAAGCATCTGCTGTGTCAAGAGACAGTCAAAGAGAAAAAACAATGCAATTGCTGTAAGTGTCAAGCATGTTACAGTTCCCAGGGTGCTTTTGGATAATCCAAAAGAAATGTTGTAGAATCGTCCAATCTGAATGTTCCTCCTAAGGATTGCTGGCGCTAAACGCCATGTAAATGGTCCCAAAGCCCATGTCACAAAGTGACCATCATGCACCCAAACACTATTCACCACTCGCTGCAGAGGCTGACAGGAGCACCTTGACCAGATCAAGCACAGGGATGCATCACATACACAAGGTATACTGTTTAAAATATAGTGAAATTAATACATAATGTAATCGAAAATAGGCCTACCATAGAAAAGCATAGCATAGAAGTCTAATTTGTGTATGTGATTACACGAGGTGAACCTTTGCAGCCCATAGGAGCAAAATAAAGGGACGAATATTATGCTGCAACACCAGTAACAAATTGCAATCCAATCTTAATTATTATTAGGAATGGAATATCGCAGGGGTCTTGTTGGACTAGAAAAAAATATTTCTAATATAAACAAGAACACTGAGGCCAAAGAGGGACCATTTTTAAAGAAAAAGTCTAATATTAGAAACAAATAACGTGTGCCTCAGTAATTTGTGTCACAGTATGTGATTACCAATTGAGACTTACTGCAGTAGCTATTTAAAAAGTTCTGATTTAAGTACTCCATCCAGCATCACTGTGAAATGATTTATTAGGGAATATGATAGCAAAACTATTAATAGCAACATAGGAGGAAAAAATACTGCTCTTTTCTTTCTAATACAGACTGGCCCTATTGTAGTTTACACTTCTTAAAACCCTTTCAACACTTTCCTCTGCCTCCAGTTGGCTCGGGTAAGGAACTACTTTGTGCATCATCACTCATCTGATATTGAGCGTAAAGACAAGTTGAGATGCAGTAATGCACGATGCACACACCACAGTGGCGGCTGGTAGGGATGGCTCACCTGTCAGTTTATCAAAAATGAGATTTGTATTGATCTGAATGCTCCCTCTGGTTGTGTCATCACACTGAAGCTAGGCTGACTAGACCTTAAATATGAAAGGTAAAATGCTCAAAAGGACATGATGCGGTTGGCATTTTACAGGTGAATGACCTATTCCAGCTGGCGGGAAAGGATCAGCACTCTTTAGTATAACACACTTATGTCAGCAATCATACACAGATGACATATAACTTGCTTTGAAATGTACATCTGGATGTGTACAGAAATTAATTTTGGAAAGGTTTTATAGGTGAAAAATGTGTCTCAGTGTTGGCTTTCTTTGTTTTTTTTGTTGGAGGCTCACATTGCAGCTGACTAATAGCACCATTCACTATTTTCACCTGTAATGAAAAGGTCACCCGAGCAACCGCCTCTAATGATAGCAGATCACCCAAAGTGAGCATGGCTGAATCACATCATTCGATCATGGAAACTATCACGTCTAAAAAAAAGAAGGTCCCCACACACCATGTAGGTTGAGAGCACTGCAGGCTATATGTCCTTCAGTTCACTTTGAGGATTATTGAAGCTATTTTTCCTTGTTATTGTTCTTATGTTGAACATCAGTATTTGTGCAGTACAGCCATTTTCTCTATTAAGTATAGATTCGGTAAAAATTGCATGTTTCCAGCAGCACCAACGCTCTGACAACAATTATGCTGTTACAGCTCTCCTTTACATCGCATGTATGGTGTAGGAGAAGAGGAAAAGGAAAACTTAATGCGTTAAAAAAATATACATGAATTATAATATTTGTGGTAAAGCACAACTACTTGTAGTGGGTGTTGAAAGTACATGAAATCAGTGTGGCCATACACACGTATCACACGT